GGTCGACTGGATTATGAAGACCTCGACATCTGAGGGAAACTACGGCATACGATGGACAGCTCAGAACCAATTAGACGACTTGGACTTCGCAGATGACCTGGCCCTCCTATCACATACACACGAACAAATGCAGATAAAGACAGCCAGCATAGCAGCAGTCTCTGCATCAGTAGGCCTCAAAATACACAAAGGGAAAACCAAGGTCCTCAAACACAACACGGAGAACAGCAATCCAATCACTCTTGATGGCGAAACTCTGGAAGACGTGGAATCCTTCACATACCTGGGAAGCATCGTCGATAAACAAGGAGGTTCAGATGCAGACGTCAAGGCGAGGATTGGCAAATCTAGAGCGGCATTCCTTCAACTGAAGAACATATGGAACTCAAAACAACTTTCAACCAATATCAAAGTCAGAATCTTCAATACGAACGTCAAGGCAGTTCTACTGTACGAAGCTGAAACTTGGAGAACTACAACAACCACCATCAAGAAGGTACAAGTATTTATTAATAGCTGTCTACGCATGATACTCAACATCCATTGGCCGGATACCATCAGCAACAGCCTTTTGTGGGAGAGAACCAACCAGCTTCCAGCTGAAGAGGAAATTAGGAAAAGACGATGGAAATAGATAGGACATACATTGAGGAAATCATCAAACTGCATTACGAGACAAGCGCTAACTTGGAATCCTGAAGGGAAGCGGAAAAGTGGAACGCCAAAGAACACATTACGTCGGGAAATAGAAGCAGATATGAAAAAGATGAATAAGAACTGGAAAGAGCTTGAAAGGATTGCCCAGGACAGGGTTGGATGGAGAATGCTGGTGAGCGGCCTATGCTCCTTCACGAGGAGTAACAGGCGTAAGTCCAAAAAAAAAGTCCATATACGTAATTTACAATTTCAATAAATTAAACTACTTTAGCTAATAAATATAACTAAATCACTGAGTAATTTATCTGATTCTTCTTAAAAACGAACATTGTCATTATCGATAGTTCCTTTCCAGATAAGTGGCTAGACATGGATACTTTTTTCCAACCTAGAATATTGTATTGTACAAAATTATCAGTGTAAATATCTACATATTATCTTCTTTAATCATATTAAACACTAGTTAAGTAATATGTTAGATTTTTCATTATTCATATAGTGAATGAAATGATTATTTAGTATTCAGATAACTCTGATAGATGAGTGTTAGTTCTTCAAGATGGACACGGACGTTACTTGACAATAAGTATTGTTTATCTGTACAAATCAGAACAGTTGCATTAATTCCGGACTAAAAGGATTTCAAAGGAAAACGATGACTGGAAAATCTGATCAAAGACAATAAAGGAAAGTTCAAAGTGAACGGGACTAAATGATAATCTATGAACAAATTTCATATCGAAATGTTAACGTTAAACAGATCAAATAAGTAAGTTGGGTTAAATTGAGAATTGGGATTCGAAAGAACAGAGATTTGTTTTTCATTCACCTTGGATATTATTATCAGGTATCTCAGAGTTGTGAAATTGTATGATTCTATGTTTACATAAAGAGCTTAATACTATATATAAATATACATATGGTCTTGGTTGCGATCTGTTGTAGGATAGCTTGTTCATACCTCTGATCGATTTCATGCTTAGATGAAACAACTTTCCAGTACTTCCTAGTTTCTTATGGCTTTTCGACTAGAATTCAGTCGGTGATATCACCTGCAAGTCGATGTTTCTACACGAATTTCTTACACTACTAGTTATTATGTATTTTAACCCAACAACATTCACTAAAGTAGTGTGTTCTTTTAGATTCCATTACACATTATATGTTAAGATCATCATTAATTTGCTACTGTTTACAATAATATCTTGTTATATAACAGAAATATGACTGACAGTGATAGCACTTCTCCACATTGAAGTGATTCATTCATGAAGTGGTTCTCTTTTATTCAATACTGAACTCAGCAAATCTATAATCACAACGATAGAAAAAAAGTAGTTTAAATTATTTGTATTTGAAAATTATCCCTTTTAAATTTTTATCTTGGTAATACTAACAATAACATCATAACTTAATGTAATTTAAATTCATCTACTCGTGAACTTCGAGTCGCTTTCTCAGTGTGCCAAAGTATTATTTGTAACCATCTTCTTCTTCTTCTAAAACATGATTTGTTTCTAAAGTAATCTTTGAATAATAATATGAAAATACACAGTTACATTTGATTACATAACTAATTTAATCAGGATGATATCATTTATTAAGTGTAGTGATCTATTTCGTGTATATACGGTTTGATACAGAAATCCGATGATAATATTTTGTTAAATGAAGCACGTAAATGACGAATGATACACATATTCGACCCTTAACATCTTCGTTATGATTCATTTAAAGATGTCATTATTGATTAATGAGTTCCATTTCTAAACATACATTTTTTTAAAAAAGAGAACAAAACAAAGAAGAAACTGATGTTTGATTGTATCTTGTCATGAAGTAGTAAATTTTCTCAAAATACAACAGATTTAAAATCATTCTTGTTCTCACCTACATTAAAGTGGTTTTCTAAATCATAAAATCTTGTTACCAAAGTAAGTAATCAGATAAGTGAATAATCCTTATATATATATATATATATATATATATATATATATATATATATAATGTATGATAATTTTTGAAAAACCAGAAAGACCCTGTTTTGATTACCTGAATGGTAAAGGGTCGTGCACTGTTGAGCTTTATAATGCGATCTTTTTGATCTTTCTATAAACTCCTAAATTGATCAGACACCTATAAATACGAGTGTACGACGTAATTAAATGATTTCGTCTAAAAGAAAATTTTCTTTACTGAATTATCTTTATTTTTATTGAATGAAGTAGCAGACAAATTTCATGGATATTATAACCATAAGTATTAGTAAGCAGAGATGGATAGTGACTATCAGTGGAATCCAGGACACGCGTTTTCCCCTATTTAGAACTTGTCAGCTGGATGTACCTACATTCCAGGCAATATTGAGACAGTCCATATAGGATGCATATATATCAATACGAGACTGATCAATTATAGTCTTAAACATCAATGGCAAGGCTCAACTAACCAAAAGAAAAAATGAATCGTAAGTATTAGTCATTAATATTTTTATCAATGTAAAGAAATTGGTCATATAGATATACAATACATACCTTCCAATATTTCTAAGGAATACTTATCAAAGCCTCATTACTCAAATAGCTTGAGTTTACATTCATCTTTCATAACTAATTGAATAAAAGAAACTTTTTTTACTGACATCAAAAACGGTGTTATACAAGGAAAAATTAATTAGACGATAAACAATAAATTTGAGTGATAAAATTAATGTGATTTTCTATCACCTCTAATGCACGATATGACAAAGCCGAATACGTGGAGGGTTTTTCTGGAGTAACTACAATTATTATCAAAAGAGAATTTGTGGAGATTGTAGTAATTTCAATAGTTAAGATCATGAGTCAATTGAAGCTAGGCCACCATGGAAAGCCTATTATAGATTCATTTATAGTGTATGAGCAATAAATTTGACTCTATGGTTGATTATCTATTTCTTAGATTTCTTAGTCTGGCTTCAAGAGGTATTTCCTGGAGTTCAAGTGAGAAACAGTGACCAGTGGAGTTCAACCGGATCTGTTGTAAGGTAATAACTCACTGAAGATAATGGTGGATAGTGACGCAGTTTCGTGAATTGTTTGAAGTTAGACACCATTGGATGCCGACCGGCTCAGCGGTCAAATGGTTAGGCGCTCGCATGCGAGACTAATAGATCCTGGGTGCAAATTTCGGGATCATGGATGATAATTGCTAAGGATTCCCACAATAGGACGAAACGACCGTTCAGTGCTTCCAGGTTTTCCATGGTGGTCTAGCTTCAATTGACTGATGATCTCAACTATTGAAATAACTACAATTATACACATTCTAAACGGAAAGAATATTTACTAAGTTAGACACAGATTTAACAAATATTAACAACAATTTCCTAAAATATTCGCTATCAAAAGTTTATTTATTGATTCGTTTAATTTTTTTTTCTGGGTAACAGTTCAGTGTACATATCTTACTATTACCTCTCATACTGATAGATGAAAATTTAGTAAGCTCAAATACTGAGCTTATAATAACCAGTTAAATATGGAAATGAGATCATTTTATGCTGTTATAATATGTAATAGAATTCAAAACATCTATTCAGTTCTATCTGAATTTCATTCGTTGAATTAATCTGTAACTCAGTGTTGTTGTGTTCACCTTCAGACTTAGTATTTCATGAATAGGTTAGTAATCACTTATCGTTGGTTTGACTTTTCCAGTTGTTTTATAAGATTAAATTAATTTACTGTTATACTCTCAGAAAAAATATCATTTCGATATATAAATAGCAGAGGTCATATAAATTGAAGATAATAAATTTTGAGTTCAATCTACCTATATTTATGGTAGATACTTGTTGAATATCATATTCATCAATGTAGTTTAAAAACAATACGAATCTCTTAAATGAACTTTAATTTCATTGGTCGGTTTTTTCCCCAAAAAATAACTAGGAAAATGATCGAATTTATACAATAACCAATAAAAAAGCAAAGATCGATGTGAAATATAATATTCTCTTCCTACTTTCCCATTCAAATAATTTAATACCCTCTTTAATATTCTAGTGTTCTTGCAAATATAACCCCCTTTCAACTGATGAATAAATATTACTTGACAACGATTGGTTAAAAGGATAACTTTTATTATGAAGTATCTTTAGGGAAAATATCAACCTAAAATATGAAGTGTATATCATCAATCAGTAAAAGAGGAGTCAATTGGTTTAGGGTGGGGTTACTGTAGAAAACAGTAATCACTTCAAACAATACAATATAAGATTAAATTGACCTAATCAATTAAACAATATATTTAAATGTAATCACCTATTTATTTAACAAACCACTTTAAACATTAATTATAATATGAATCGAAAAAGTCCACATTTTCTTGTTAGTCGACTGTTAGAAGATACCAAAATATTTGATAATGGAACATCATCATCTAAAAACCAACTTGATAATAGTTTGGATAATGCTGACAATAATAGTGATGATGAATATTCACAACAGATGAACATGGATGAATTAGTTCATAGCAGTAAGTTTCTTCTTTTTGAAAAAAAGCTATAACTTGGAGTTCATTTAATATGAATTTAAAACTGGCTTGAGTTTTTTCTAACATAATCAGTGTTTAATTAGTGTGTTTCATCCAGGACTTTTGACTAATTCTCCATTCATTTATTGAACGTTAAGTGCACATTAGCATGTAATAGTCATTAAAAATTCTATTTCAAACCGTAACTTACATTACACCAGTGTCTTTCATCCTGAATTTTGTACTGTCACATTTACTTGTTTATGACAGAAAGAAATAGATACATTTTAATGACTAAATGAAATCTTTAGCGTATAACTAGCACATTATTATTCTGCATTCAATCACCCAATAAACATAAGAATGATCAAAACTACTTGATACTTCACACCCTTTGAATATTGAAAATGTTGCTCATAAATTCAGTTCAGTCAGTAAAAATACGATTTACTGATTTAGAATTATATTGTGAAGTTTTCAGCATAAGCTTTCACTTTGTAAACAATTCTTTATGTAACTTACTAAAGAATAACTAAATCTATGTCCATCAATTTCTAATGAATATTCATTAAATTAATATTGTTTAATAATACGGTATTTAAATACCAAATATCAATAAATATCAGGTACCATTAATATTTTATACAAATCTATTTGAATTAGTTAATGAAAAATAGAGTTGAATAGCTAATGTTGAAGGAGAATAAAATGAAATATTTATTATCAGTATAGGGTTGTGGAGATTATTAAGTTTTATTTTATTGAGATCATGATCATAATCTTCACAACCCTATACTGAAACTTACCATGTACTCACTAGTGACTAGCTTCCTGAGGCAATTTTTGGAGGTCTAGTGAGGAGCCGTGACGAGTAGAGCTAATCCGTATCGAGTAGAGACAGGTATCTACATCAGTAGAATGGAAGATAGTCGCGCGACTTCATAGATTGGTCGAAGTTAGACATTAACACCGTTGGATGCCGACTGGCTCAGGGGTCTAGAGGTTAAGCGTTCGCGCGCGAGACTAAAGGTCCTGGGTTTGAATCCCGAGAGCGGTATCCTGGATGTGCACTGCTGAAGAGTCCCACAATAAAACGGAACGATCGTCCTTTGCTTCCAGGTTTTCAATGGTGGTCTTACATCAATCAATTCATGATCTCAACCCAAAAAAGAATTTACTGAACAGTGATTAACAAGTTTTCTAATAGTAATTTACATTTATTAATGGTTTATATCTTAATAAATTATGTAAGAAGAGATTAGTTTTAAAGATGAATCAAAACAATATTTCATTGTATATATTCATTAATGTTTTTTCGACACTTCAATATATTCTCTAGAATAAGTGTAATTTAGTAGTTTAGTAATCTTTTTCTATTGACTGTGAATAAGATTTTAACAATAATTTTAACTTAAAATCAATCAAATGATGTACTCGAACTAATGACAATAGACACAGATTATTGGCCTACAAGATAGTATAAACCGAAATTAGGCATCATATATTTTCATATTCAACAGTTGAATAATGACTACGAAAATAACTTTAAAATTTTATCAATTAAGATACTTGTTTAGCTTAATTTATTAAAGATCAAAAACAACTGATCGAAATAGTAATGTAACTAGGATCCATGTTGATATCTAATTAATCTTTAACTTTCTACAAATGTTTTTTTATCAGAAGGGATTGTGTGGAGATTTTAGAAATTTCACTGGTTGAAATCATGAATCCATTGAAGCTAGACCACCATGGATGCGCACTGCTGAGGAGTCCCATACTAGGACGAAACGGCCGTCCAGTGCTTCCAGGTTTTCCATGGTGGTCTAGCTTCAATGGATTCATGATTTCAACCAGTGAAATGTTTTTTTTTATATATTATCTATCAATCAATAGAAATCGATAATGCTCCTAATGTAATGTGGTTTTAATTATTGGTATCCTCTAAGTAATTTTTTTATTATTATTGAGTTACCCGTACTGATTGATAGATTTATTCGAACGATAGAATTGTCTAATCAGTTCTGATCTGGTTTTAACATTAATACTGAAATAGTTATATTGTAACCAAATAAGTGTTTAACTTCACTTCATTGTGTTGATGATGGGTGTTCTGTGTAAATCAAAGATAAATTACCTATCCTGTTGTGTTCTCATATAAATAATCCTCCCCCCAAAAAATAACCAGTTGATTTATTGAGGAAAAGATCATTAATCAGTAGTACAAACTATGCCATGAACACTTTATTTTTAATTACATTTTAAATGAAGGAAGTAAAAATGTTCACAGTTAGATAGGCAATTGAATGAATTAAAAATTCGTATCATTTATGTTAAGGATAAAGTGTTTCATCTAGTATCTAAGTGATTTCAGTATTTCATTTTAACCTGTGGATAATAAATGTGAACTTCATCCCTTAAATATTTTCAGGAATTATTTAGGAATATTAAGCCTCTATTTGATTTGTTTATCTAGAATTGTACTATTTTGAGAGGATGGAGAAGATTTGTAGCTCAGGTGGATGATTTTGATGGAGTTTTGTTCTCTGAGCTGGATAGAAGTTTGTGCTGATGATGTCGTTCAGAAGAACAACGAAAGCTCCACGACCAAACCATTCAGCTCAGAGAACAAAACTCCATCAGAATTGTACTAAATTAGTTTTATTTACAAGGTGTCATGGAGATATACTTACATTAGGTTCTTTCTCAAGAGTTACTAAAAACTGAAATAAATGTATTTAAGTCAAACCAAGTATATAGCAGCGTATTGTATTACGATAACATAATAATGAATGCTAGTAATATGATTAAACAATTTATACGTACACTCTGTCGTTCCTTCTTGCTTTACACATTCTCATATCAGTTTAACTCTTATTATCAGCATAGAATTGCGGAATCTGCTAAGTTTTAATTTAGACCGAAGGTCCTGAGTTCAAGTCCAGCATGCGGGATCGTGAATATGCACTTCTGAGGAGTCTCATACTAGGACGAAGCAGACATCCACTGATTCCAGGTTTTCGATGACAATCTAACATTGATCGGTTCATAACCTCAATTAATACCTTCCAATTATTCATAATTTACATCATAAATGGAATGATAGGCCCCCCTTGTTTAACTTTAACAATTTAAAGTTAATAAAAAAGTACTCTCACATATAGTAATTTATGGGTTTATGTATCCATTTAAAAGATATTCCTCCATATCAGTAATAAGACTACTTATTGATAGTCATTTCATCTTTTAGAAATACACAGGGAACTTAAAAAGATCATCAGCTAATAATGAGCTATTCATTATTTTGAAATTCAATATTTTCAGATGATAAGTTGTGATCTACTTGACATTAATGATTTAAGTACATGATAAATTAGTACACCAAGTTTTACTGTGTATGTAATAATAAGAATTAAACATTTCAAAACCAAGTTTATAGATAGAAGTAAACGGTATACTGAAATAAGGTAGTTAGTTAGTTATTATGCTAAATCAGTAATATAGGTCTTACGAATTTTCTAATATTTACTGAACGTTTTTAAAATATCAGATAAGAACTTTGCTTATTATTAGATTAATAAAAATAGCTTTATAAAGATTGATTTAATTTATAGATCATGCTCATCATAGACTGATCACAGTTAGTGAAATTCAAATATATCAGGTGTGACAAAATTGTCACTAATAGGACTGAACTATCTACATGCCATGTCGCAGATTAGTTAAAGTTAGAATCGTACCACTAGTTCCCACCCCAGTCATTTCTAATGATAACGTGTTCATTGAGGAACCTGTAGGTCCCAAGTTCCATTCATAAAAAGGATCGACAAGGAGTCTAATCCCAACATAAAATATTTGTCTAGTGTTTGATAGTTTTCAGTGATAACCTAACTCTGATCATTTTTTGCGACTAATGCAACGTAAAAGCCAATTCACTGAATCATAAAACATTGAACTGTGGCTTGTAGAAATCTGTTCATAGATGAAATCAATCTAAACTTTCATTTGATTAACTTAATAATCAACTTTTTTTTAATTTTTTTATTTATACTACGAATTAAGTTTTGACGTGATGCATATCATCATCAAAATAGACACAGAATATGTTCATCATCATGATATTCACTAGGATCTGATGATTTAGTTAATGAACAAAGATGAATTTGAAATAAGTGTTTTTTTAAAAAAACATTTCTGTATTACTCTCATCTTGGAAATTATAATAAATCAGTAAGGTTTCTTCCCTTCCTTCCTTCCTTCCTTCCTTCCTTCCTTCCTTCCTTCCTTACTTACTTACTTACTTACTTACTTACTTACTTACTTACTTACTTACTTACTTACTTACTTACTTACTTACTTACTTACTTACTTACTTACTTACTTACTTACTTACTTACTTACTTACTTACTTACTTACTTACTTACTTACTTACTTACTTACTTACTTACTTACTTACTTACTTACTTACTTACTTACTTACTTACTTACTTACTTACTTACTTACTTACTTACTTACTTACTTACTTACTTACTTACTTACTTACTTACTTACTTACTTACTTACTTACTTACTTACTTACTTACTTACTTACTTACTTACTTACTTACTTACTTACTTACTTACTTACTTACTTACTTACTTACTTACTTACTTACTTACTTACTTACTTACTTACTTACTTACTTACTTACTTACTTACTTACTTACTTACTTACTTACTTACTTACTGATCTACTTACTTACGCCTGTTACTCCTCGTGGAGGAGCATAGGCCGCCAACCAGCAATCTCCATCCAACCCTGTCCTAGGAAGTCCTTTCCAGTTGTTATTCATCCTTTTCATGTCTGCTTCTATTTCCAAATGTAATGTGTTCGTTGGCCTTCCTCTTTTCCGCTTCCCATCACGATTCCAAGTTAATGTTTGCCTCGTGATGAAATTTGGTGATTTTCGTGATGTATGTCAAAATTTGCAAGATTAGATTTTTTTTTATTAAAAATTAAC